CCCTCAGGAATAGTTTAGTATTCACTAATTCAATGTCCATGCTGATGTTAGAGAACATAACTACTACAAATTATAAGAATCGACTATGTATCCAAATCCACGTCCTACAGATTCTACTTCCAGAACATAAATCCATTAACTTCTCTTCATCGCCTGTGCTATCATTGTAGGCCATTATCTCTGGCCTCTACTAAGCTTCCTTACTCCCAGCTCTTGCAACCCTTCTGATCCTATTCTCTTCAAGGGTCAAAGTGACTCTTAAAGCAAAATAGGCTGCCATGTTAGTCTCCGATTTAAACTATTCAAAGATTTCTTAATGCACTTGCAATAAAATCCAAAATCCTTCCCAGGCCCATAGGATCACTCTTGCAATCCTGCTGCCCTCTCCTTCACCTTAGCACCATGGCACTCTCATAACACTCCAGACACACTAATTAGTGGTTATTTAAAAGTGAAGGACTTTTCTGCCTCGGGAACTTCAAACACACTGTTTTCTTTGCCTTCTCTCTGATCTTTTCTTGCCTAACCGCTACTCAATCTTCAGGTCTAGGTTTAAACGTAATTCCTTCAGAGAGAAAGCTTTGCAAATCCAAATGGAGATCCTCTATTATATTTACAGCATCCTCTACTTATCTTTAACACCTCCAATTTATTATTTATTTGCTTAATATCTGGTTCTCCACTAGAGTATAAGTTCCATGAGGACAAAACTGTGTCTTTTTAGTTTAAAACTATATTTCTTACATCTGGAACATTCTTGAGCACGTAACTGAGGCTTGATAAATGAATGAATAAATGAATGAACCTGACTATCCCATTAATCTTTTTAATAATATACTGAAACAGATATAACCTGACTATATGCTTAAAATGTTTGGAGGAAGGAAAATAGATTATTTGGATGTGGCAGTGAGATGTTTCCCTGTAAGTGAACATTAATTATAAGCAAGGCACTAAGAATTTCAAGTCATTTCCTGAGTCTCAGCCTCCCGCATCTCCACATAGTATAAAATGTCATGTATTTACTTTAATCATTAGCCAAGACTAAATATGTTACTGGGCAAAGAGTGTTACTCTAGAGACCATACTAAATAAACACCCAAACTGGCTGGTCTACAATGAAGTTAAGCTTTGCATAGTTCAGATAAAACTAAGTTCTGCAATAATAACTGTATCAATTCTATAAAGTTATTTATCATAGGGTAGAGTGAGGGGAAGGGAAGAAGCTTTTACTTCCTCTAATAGTTTTTTCCATTTAAATAGTAATTCCATTTTTTTCCTTTTTTTGTCATTCTCCAAAAATTTCAAATTAGAATTTAGTAATATATTATCTAAGTTTTACATTAACTTTATTTTCCTGGGAATATAGGGGAAATGCATTATTTTAATTATAATTCTTTCACATTCTTCTTATTATAATTCTTTTACATTCTCCCACCATATCCTGAAATTGTCATCCCTTCTCTCAGATGATAAAACTATTGCTTCTGCTATGAAAACAAAGGAAAAATGTCTAATCTCATGTTTACAGCTTTAAAGAATCAATTTAACATTATATGGTAAAGAATTTTCAAATATAAATTTAAAATTATGAAATCAATTTTTGTTTCCTTTGTATATAACAAATCAACTCATAAAATTTTCAAGTAACAAATATTTTCTGATATTTAGAAGTTTCTTCATCAAAGCAAAAAAAGCACTGACATCCAACCTGTTTTTTGATGAACTATGTAATATCCTATTTGCCTTTATCCACATACTTTTCTTAAACTACCAATTTTAATATGTGTACAAAGAAATGTCAGCATGGTCTACAGCCATGCCACCCTGACCAAGCCTGATCCTGTCTGATCTTGGAAGCTATGCAGGGTAGGGCCTGGTTAGTACTTAGAGGGAGACTACCTAGGAAGACCAGGTTCTGTAGGCATAAAAAATAAAAAATAAGGGATTGTAAGCTGACAAGGTCCTTGCAATCTGTGAGGTCAACCAAGAGTTGCCTCACCAAAAAAAAAAAAAAAAAGGAAAAAGAAAAAGAAATAACAGCATGGAGGATATCTGGAAAATCTTTCACTTCGCTGCAAGCTTCACACCATAAAATAGAAAAGATACAAGTAAAGTTCTAGCCTCTATCATTTGCTGCAACTCCTAACTGTTCAATTCACTCTTATTGGCCCAATCATAGTCTGGCCATGTATTTATTCATCTTTTTCCTATTTCAAACTGCTTCACGTAAATTATCATAAGCCGACTGTCCTCTCAAGATCTAGAACCAACTTTCAACATTTTCACTGGGTATCTTTCCCAAACTGATAGTTGTGCTTTAGTTTCATTAAATCAATTGTCACCACATATTGCTGAATAAGCTGAAGCAATCACAATGTTCTTCCATTACATTTTGTAGCTATCAATCTGTAACCTCATAAGTTAAAATAATTCTCCTTTATCTTTCACACTTTTATCATTCCAAGAAATTAACTTGTTCATTAAAAGTAAACTCTTTGTTCCAAGAAATAAAATATTTTGTTAAGAATTGCAGGTATTCAGTTTCTACCAATGTACTTTAAATAAGCACATGATAATCTGCCAACATATTTCTCCATAAAAATTAGGTTCACTTTAAAATCCAGTAGTTTCAAATGCATTTCACTTCTTCCATGTTTTAATTTTTGCCTGTGTTTTTTCCACTTAGAAACTCCTTGTATTTTAAATGCTTCAAATGATTCTCCTTCCTGGCAAATTCTTGTTAGCCATATAATATGAAATGCCAACCACCAAAACTCTGTTATTAATTCTTTACTTTTTCTTCACTGTTCCTGGTCTTTGTGTACTTTGGAGGTAAATGTTTGCAAAAGAGGCTCTGTTATGAGCCTCTACATCATGCTGGTGACAGACACAGCAACTAATTATTGATGATGATGTTGATGATGTTGGTGCAATGATTGCTTTCCCACACTGCTATTATAACACTATTATTTGATTTGTCTGGTGAATTTTTAGAAATTTTTGTGCTTTTGATATAATTTACAAAAAATGTTTCCACAAAACAAACTACAACTGACCATACCTATAACATTGAATAGCTGAAAAATAAGAAATACTATACACCAAGCAATGCAAAGCTGGAAAAGCATCAAAATAGAACAAAAAATCTAGGCAGGTAGATTGGCAGAAGACTAGCCCAACTGCTAAGTTACACCAAAGGCCTCATTGCTTTTTATGCACATTGGTTTTTAAAAATTCTTAACAGTTACAAAAAAATACACGAACCATGATTTGATCTTACAGTTTAAAATAGCTAACTTCATCTTATTTCAATCTTGAGTCACACTTTTTTCTACCTGTGGAAATTAGGGAAGAAATAAAGAGAAGAAATGTGTTCCCTTATCCCTTGTCTTCCAACAACCCTATATTTGTCTTAAAAGAAGTTATACCTTAAGAATTTCTTAATTTATTAACTCTTAGGTTGTTACACAGAAGCTGTTTTGGAGTTTTAAACACAAAAACTTGTGCCTTTGGAACACTGACTTTTAAAGGTACATTAAGGCCTCTCATTTATCTGACATTATCCCTAATGAAGAATCCTCTAATGAAAGCCGAATTATCATTAAAATGAATCTTAAGAAAGATAGATCTGAGATTTTACCCTACTTGCAACCTAATAAGTTAGGCTGCCACAGTACTTCTGCCTATAAGATAAATTTTAAACTCAAATATATTTAAGCTTTCTACCTTCTGGCCTCAAGTTATTTTTCTGTTCTTTCCTCCCTCGCCAATCCATTTTTACAATATTTTTTTCAAACTTGATTATTTGTAATCATGTGTGTTTACTGGTTTATTTTCTGTCTTCTCCACTAAACCTAAGTAGTAAGTTCTAAGCAAGCAGAAACCACATCTATTTCATTCATACCTGTACATTCAGTGCCAACTATAAAATTGTCACAGAGAAATCACTTAATATTTGTTAAATGAAATTTACAAATGTTTAAATGTAATGTTTCTATAAATGTAATCTGTTTCTACCTAAAAGCTTACACACATGCTACTCCTCACTGGTTTCCCACTCTGAACAATTCGCATCTTGAAACCTGTAAGAAGTCTCACTGAG